ACACAAATGTCACCACATAACTCAACACAAATGCCACCACATACGCATAACACAAATGTCACCACACACGCACAACACAAATGTCACCACACACACACACAACACAAATGCCACCACACACGCACAACACAAATGTCACCACATACACACAGCACAAATGTCACCACACACACAACACAAATGCCACCACACACACACACAACACAAATGCCACCACACACGCACAGCACAAATGCCACCATGCACATAGCACAAATCTCACCACACACACACACACAAATGCCACCATCACTTGGACACCTGAAGAAATGAAACTGCTGCATGTTGTCGGACCTAAGATGCTTCTGACAGAACAAAGTCCAAGGCCTGGCCAACCCCGAGGACCAGAGAAGGGGACTGGAAGACACAAGCTTGCTCCTCATCATCTCCATGTGAGCACTCCTGAAGACACAATCCAAAGTAAAAAGCATTACATAATCTCTCCACCTCAGGGTCAAGATGAATCCACTTAACTAAAACCTACTGCTGTCAGCTTCTCCAGTTTGGTCTGTGGGTGACCCTAACTCCGGGTAAGACTTCTGGCACTGGGTAGTGGGTCGCTCACCTCTATCACGATGAATTCGTAACTTGTCTCCTTGCTTTATGTCACAGTGCCAGAAGGCTAGGGCTAGTCCCAAAGACGGCAAACTCTCCTGAAAGGGCACCTGAATGTTCTCTCTTGTGCTCCTCCACACTCAGGGTCTCCTGAGAGCCCTGGCTGTGTGCATTTCCCCCTATCTGGAGCCGCCTGGGAGAAGAGGAAGATGTACACAAGAGGCTAAGTGAGCAGGAGGCAGGTCTGGAAGGAGGGTCGTTATACAACTGACAGACCAGAGCAAGAGACCTAGAAAAAGATTAAACCCGCTCCCCAAGCAAGGGTCTTCATAAAAATCGATTTTCACCTTTATCACTTTCAATTTTGGCTGATCGCCACTCAGCGAAAGCATTTTAAGATCTTCTCATCTACCAATCTTTCCCCCTCAGCACCTCGAGTGGCTATATAATAGGTTGATAGTAAAAACTTCCTCTCTGTTGCCAACACAGAAATCAGAGTTTGAGAGTCCTCTGAGGGGTTCTGGGTGGCACAGGACTGAGCACCCGCCTACAGCCATGCACATTCACGGGCAGGGCTGTGACCAGCCAGCCAGCCTTGGGTACAGAACACTCTGACAATGCCTGTGGGGACACCCCAAGTTAACTTTTCATAAGAAAGTACAAAAGTTAAGAAATTATAGCAGTTCCACACCTAGGAGAAAGTGTTGCTGTGGTATTTACTGAACATTTATTGACCACTCACGACTTTGCTACATAAAAAGGGGGTGGATTTACTTATAAAAAGTTGTTGCTGGGTGGTAGTAGTGCACATGCCTTTAATCCCAGCACTTGGGAGGCAGAGGCCTCTGTGAGTTCAAGTCCATCCAGCCTAGTCTACAAGAGCTAGTTCCAGGTCAGCTAGGACATTATACAGAGAAACTCTGCCTTGAAAAACCAAAACCAAAAACAACAACAAAAAAAAAGTTGTTGATATTTCCATGTTAAGATTGCAAAACACAATTCAAAGAGGTTAGTAAGAACAGAGGTCAAATGGTTTACTCTGGACTGACAGGAGACTGTGAGTTCATAATACTCTAATAATACTCTACAGATTTCTTCCACACTAGTTCAACCAAACCTGGCTGGGAGGTGAGGAAACTAAAGCCAGAAAGAGCTAAAGCAACCAGGGTCTGAGGGCTAACAAGTAGGGTGCAGCCTTTCTGTGGCTGCCACCAAAGCCTGTGGACCTAACACTTTGTTGTGTACTTAGCTACTAGGCCTGATCAATCAGGCGTAGCCCAGAATGTACATGGCTGGACCCAGAGCATCACATGCCAGAGTGCTTCCCAAATGGCCCTCGACATGAAGTCAATACCCGTATCTTCCCAGATCCAACACCGCCTTCCGATGTTGGTTATCACACAGACATTAACCAAGACAAGAAACAATTCTCCAGGTGGCTCCCACTGTCGAACCCCAGGAGCCAAAGTCCACAATGCCCTCTTCATTGTTGCCCCCCCTTAATAAGACATGCACTACAGAGTAATCTCACAGCCACACCCCTTGAATAGAAGTTACATACATCCAGTTCATCACGATTTAATTCTGGGAGACATCCTTCACCTCCCCAAGGGGCTGTAAGAGCCTGGAGAAGACCCTGCACTGCTTAAAGCTCTTCCACACTGCGCTGGGCTGCTGCTCTATCCAGCTGCCTCTGAGCCTGACTTTCCACGGGTGGTGTGGGCATGAGGGTCTTCCTGTTGCCCTACAAGTAAAAGTAACTTCATGGCTGTTCAGACTTGCACAACTTTAATCTCGGGTTCAAGAATGTCCTTTCTCCCTTAGCCGGTCAACTCTCAGACTCAATTAGGAAATTATTTCCTCCTGCTAATAGAAATTAGCCCCGCCCTTTTCTGTGTTCTCCTCTCACCCAGCACCCTTCCATGAGGGCTTGCATGTCCTGTAGGAAATTTCCTGACCTGTTAAATGAGAAACAATGATGTAGAAGAGTCAGTGAGAAGGGCCACACTTTCACAATTCTGCTCTTGAAGACACAGGTCCACACACGAGCTTCACGCCCCAGCTACTCATTTATGGGAAACTGATAAGCAGGGCCGAAAGGTGCTCAAGGGAGAGACAGAACTACAGAAAGTTCCAACGTAAGTTTCAGGGACCAACTCCCCTTCCAAAAGCGACAATGGAGCAAATGCATGAAGTCCTGCCTAGGAGTTGATACTAGACTCCTCCTGTAGCAGGAAAACACCTCCCATGTAGGTCATCGGCCAACACAACTACAATACGAAAGCCACAGGCTGCACCTGGCGCCTACTCCTTCACCAAGGCCACAGGCTTAGGGGTACCATAAGATCTTTGGTGAGAAGGAACTAGAGTGTATCAAATTCTAAACACCCTCTTTACAGTTGTGTGAAAACCTTTAGAAAACTTCACAAAATCCCTATTTGACCCTTTAGGAATTGTTAAACTACAAGATTAGTACAGATTGGAATAGAGAAGCATTAAGCAAGAACCAACACTACCCTCAACCCATCCCAAGGTTCAGAAAAAACAAAAACAAAAACCACTAAGACTGTATTCAGTAAAACCACAAAATGGTAGTGGCTACATATACAAATAATTCATATTACTGATAATGTATTATATGTGTATGTGTGTATATATGTACACGCACACATACATACACACACCTGAAAACCAAGAGTCAAGATTCTGAGTCAAGACAACATCTTCCATGTGACCTACCGCAGAGCTAGGCTATCTGAATGGCAAGTCTTCCATGAGCAAATAAAGTCCCATGTCAGCCCTAACAGTCCATGTAGGAGAAAGGAGACCTGGAACAGCTATGAGATTTGCTCAGATAGTGAGGGCCACCCCCCAGAACAGCATACAGGTTTTCTGGGAGCTAACCCGTCCCCTTCCTCAGTCCACTTTACTCCTATAGGCAACAGAAGCAGCCCTCCCCTGTAGGAAGAGAGTTTCGTGAATGCTTAAGACAAATTCAATAAGCCAGCAGCTGAACAGGCAAGAAACATGGTTACCAGATGGTCACTGGTGAGAGAAACACTGCAGCAGATACTTGAAGTTCATTTGAAAACAAGATGGTCCCACATTCAAGCCTTTACCTCAGTGTGCTTCAGAGTACACTTTCTGGCATAAACCGGATCAAAGTAAACAGAAAAAAAAAGACAACTGTATTATACAAAAATATCTTTTACTATGATTCTATTTTAAGTAACCTGACAAATTGGCCTGTGAGTGCAGGAATCACAGCCATAATATTTGTTGGACTTAATCCACCTCTAGAATGCCAAATTTTTATACACAGGCACACACACACACACACACGTGTTTGCCCAGAAATGTGAGTTTCACTGTGTCTGTCTGATGTTCACCTGCAGCTTAGGTAAACAGTTACTCTTGGGGCAAAACTTACTCTGCAAAAGGCCTTCCCTGACCTAACTTCCTTTCTTAAGCAAACTTGAATGTTTTGTAGCCTAGCCCCTGCTCCTTCCCCACCACTCTGCCTCCTCACCTGCACTCCAGTAACCAACGCCCAACACCCGACTCGGGGCAGGGCAGCCTTAAACCGGAATGAATGAGCTTCAACTCTAAAGACTTGCAAATTCCAAGTTCTCAAAGTTTGCTTTTGTTTTAAAATCTTACATCATTTCCCACGCGCGCACACCAGCATCCACTTTCTCCTACCACCATATTTAAGCCAGAAGGCTTGCCCTCCTAGAGACACAAGGGTACATTCTGGGTCCCCAGGAGCACCAGGCGCCCATGCCTGCCGGTCTGCCCTAGGGGCCGGGTGGCGCTGACCATAGGCTCGCTAGGGCACGTGGGCCGCGGCCGCTCGCCGGTCCCGCGCTGGGAGGAGCCCCGCG